CGCAATTCAAAAACAGGCAAAGAACAGATATTTCTCCAAAGAAGATGTACATATAGTCAATAAGCACATGAAACAATCCTGAACTTCACTATTAGGGAAATGCAGATCGAAACCACCATAAGATACCATTTCACATCGATTTTTAAAAAAAAGAAGAAAAACAGAAAACAACATGTGTTGGTGAAGATGTGGAAGAACCGGAAATCCTGGCTCCTTGCCAGAGGGAATATAAAATGGTAAAGCCTCTGTGGAAAATGGTATGGCAGTTCCTCAAAAAATTAAACATAGAATTATCATATAATCCAGCAATTTTACTTCTGAATTGAAAACAGGGACTCTAATAGATATTTCCACACCCATGATCACAGCAGCATTATTCACAATAGCCAAAAATGGAAACAACTCAGGTCAATTGATGATTGAATGGATAAGCAAAATACGGTATACACAAAAAGAAAATATATTCAGTCTTAACAAATTCTGGGCCAGGTGCGTTGGCCTGTAATCCCAGCACTTTGGGAGGCCAGGAATTTGAGACTAGCCTGGGCAACATAACAAAACCCCATCTCTACAAAAAAACACAAAAATTAGGCCAGGCGCAGTGGCTTACACCTGTAATCCCAGCACTTTGGGAGGCTGAGGCGGGTGGATCACCTGAGGTCAGGAGTTCGAGACCAGCCTGGCCAACATGGTGAAACCCCATCTCTACTAACAATACAAAAATTAGCCAAGCATGGTAGCGCACGCCTGTAATCCCAGCTACTCGGGAGGCTGAAGCAGGAGAATTGCTTGAACCAGGGAGGGAGAGGTTGCAATGAGCTGAGATCACACCATTGAACTCTAGCCTGGGCAACAAAGACTCTGTCTCAAAAAAAAAAAAAAAAGAAAAAGAAATTCTGACACATGCTACAACACAGGTGAACCCTGAAGGCATTATGCTAAGTGAAATAAGCCAGACAGAAAAGGATAAATATTTTGTGGTTCAACTTGGAACAGTCAGATTCATATAGGCAGAACCAGCAGCTGGAGACAGTGGGGAATGGAGAGTTACTGTTTCATGGGTATCAAGTTTCAGGTGATGAAAAAGTTCTGGAAATGGATAGTGGTGGTGGTTGCACAACAATGTGAATGTATTTAATGCCACTGAACTGTATATTTAGATATGGTAAATTGCATGTTATATATATATATCTTATCATGATTAAAACGTTAAGCAATTATAGCATTATGTAGCAAAATCAGAAACAATTGAATAATTTCAAAAATTGGCAACAGGTCTTACAGAAAAAGCAAGTATTTACATTCACTCTAAATATAAATCATTTGAGAAAGAAATGCCAAAGACTGGGAACCCTGAGCCTGGTCACTGTCTATGCTGGTTCTGTAGAAGATGGAGTAGACTCAACCAGCCAGGGGTGCTGGATTGAGGGAAACAGGGGCGAGGAGAGTCAGAACTAAAGAACTCTGTAATCAGTACCAAAACCGAGTTGTTTTCAGGGGAGTAGACAAAGCTCTGGACTGTTTTAACATGTGTCCCTTTCTCAACCGAAATTCTAGAATATCTAATTAATTAAAACTAAAGCCAAAGAGCAGGAGGATCACTTGAGCCCAGGAGACAGATCTGGTCAACACGGGGAGACCTCACCTCTACAAAAATTTAAAAGATTAGCTGGGTCTGCTAGTGCACACCTGTATGATTCACGCCTGTAGTCCCAGCTACTTGGGAAGCTGAGGTGGGAGGATCGCCTGAGCCTGGGAAGTCAAGGCTGCAGTGAGCCATGATTGCGCCACTGTACTACAGCCTGGGCAAGAGAGTGAGACCCTGTCTCAAATTTAAAAATAATAATAAAACTAAAGACAAATAGACCAATAAAACAGCATAAAGTCTAAAATTAAATCTTATGAATATTCAGTTACCTATCTGTGACAAAAGTCATAAATAGTGCTGGAGCAACTGGACATTCCTGTGGGAGAAAAAAGTATGACTCCTACCTTGCACCAGACACAAAAAATAAATTCTAGATAGACTGCAAATTTAAATGAGAATAATTCAATAAAGCATTTCGAGGAAAGAACAAGAGAACGTCAGTCTTAGAGTAAACAGCGATTTCTTAACCGGGACATAAAAAGTACTCAAAAAATGTTAATAAATTGAACTATATTAAAATTAATAATTTCTGTCGATCAGAAGATATCATTAAGAGTGAAAGGCATCCACAGAGTGGGAAAGAAATATGTGCTGTATATATATATATATCTGACAAAGAAATCTTATCCATTTGTATTACAATATAATACAAGTTATACTGTAAAGACCTTGCAAATCAATATTAAAAAGATAAACTTAATTTTTAAATGGGGAAAAAAATTTGACCCTTCACAAAAGATTTCCAAATGGCTAATAAACAAACAGGTGCTTAAATTCATTAGTTATCAGGAAAATGCAAATTAAAATTATTCATATGATGAACACTATAAACACACTTGCTAGAATGACTAAAATTAAAAAGGACAGCAAATATCAAGTGTTGGTAAAGATGAGAAACAACCACACCTCTGAGGCTCTCAGCACTGGCGGAAGTGTACACTGGTACAACCACTTCCGAAAATTGTTTAAAAGCATCTACTAAAGATGAACAAATGCACACTCTTTAACCTAGGGTTTCCATTTCTAGGGCTATACCCAACAGAAATGCACAAACATGTCCACCAAAAGCTATGTACAAAAATATTCATAGCCAGCCGGGTGTGGTGGCTCACACCTGTAATCCAAGCACTTTGGGAGGCCAACGTAGGTGGATCACCTGAGATCAGGAGTTCAAGGCCAGCCTGACCAACATGGCGAAACCCCGTCTATAATAAAAACAGAAAAATTAGCTGGGTGTGGTGGCATGCACCTGTAATCCCAGCCACTCGGGAGGCTGAGGTAGGAGAATCACTTGAACCCAAAGGCAGAGGTTGCAGTGAGCCAAGATTGTGCCACTGCACTCCAGCCTGGGAGACAGAACGAGACTCCATCTCAAAACAAACAAATAAACAAATATATATATATGTATATGTGTGTATATATATATTCATAGCCAAGACCTAGAAACTACTGAAGTGCCCGTCAACAGTAAAATGAAAAATAAATTGTCCTATAGTCACACAACTACGGCACTGAGAATGAATTATAACCACATACAAAATGGAGAAATTTCACAAACTCTGTAGAAGAAACTGGACACAAAAGAGTGTATAACGTAAGATTCTATTTACATAAAGTTCAAAACTAAGCAAAAACTAATCTATGATATTAGAAGCCAGGGCAGTGTTTACCCTTGGTGGAGGAGAAAGTAACTGGAAGGGGGAAAGGAATCAGTCTCCGGGATGATAGTAAAATTCTGTTTCTTTTTTTCTTTATTTATAATGGTAGAGATGGGGATTCACTATGTTGCCCAGGCTGACCGGTCTCAAACTCCTGGTGGATTCAGGAGTACACAGGTGTGTTTAGTATGAAATGATCTGAAGAGTACATGTATGACTTCACGAATTTATCTCTGTGTATTTTAGCTTCAATTAAAAAAATTACAAATAAATTTGTACCAAATTCCACGAACTCAAATTCCACCAGCTCAGACTTCACATGTCCTCTTTATTCAAAGTATGACTTCCAAAGTGATTCTCAATTTTCAAGATCAGTAAGTACACAAATTAGACAATTCTTCACCTCGAACCAAGAGTGACTGAATCGTAGACAACTTAGGAGAGGGGTAAATACAAATATACAAAATTGATATATTTTACAACCGTTATGAAAACACAGAGAAACCCAATTATAATACATTCTAGAGCATCACGAAAAGATAAAAACATCAAAGTAGACTTTCCAAGGTCAAGTGCGCTTCCTGACCCCTGCCAACAGCACACATAGAAACATGGGCCAAAAAAGCTGCTGCTTCCCTAAGAAGTTGCTTCCAGAACAAAATGGACTTTTGCTGAGGTTCTCACTCCCATAAATAACCAATATTCTCACCCCAAAAGGGAAGGTTTCGAACTCAATCCACGTGGGGGCTGGGGGAGATGAAAGAGGGATGGAAACGTGAGGCGCCGGGAGAGCAGGAGGTGTTGACTGGGACAAGGTAACCGGCCGGGTCCAAACGCGAGAGGCGGGCGGGCTCCGTGCAGCCTGGTCCTTCCAGGACCTACCGGGCCCACCCAGGCTCTCCGGGACGCCTGCGCATCCACCTGCCTACCTGGCCGGGCGGCGGAGCGCGGGGGCGCGCACCGGCCGGGCCGCCGTCCACACCCCGAGGCGCGAGCCGCACATCCCCCCAGAGAGGAAGCCTCCGGGGTCCCGGAGCGCGGCGCGTACCGCAGCCCTCCCGGCGGAAAGGGAAGGGCAAGACCGGGGCCGCGGGGCAGGGGCGGGGTCCGGGCTGGAACGAGGGAGCGGGAGGGGGCAGGGGAGGCAGGAGCGGAGCGGGGGACAGGCAGAGGGAGGGGAGGGAAGGGGTGGGGAGGGAGAGCGGCAGAGGCCCGGGCGGGAGGCGCGGGGCGCAGGCCCAGAGGTGAGGGGCCCGGGGGCAGGGACAGGGGGCCCGGGCAGGCGCGCGGGGCTGTCAGGGCTGCCTCGGTCCCCACGCACCGTGGACTCCCGCACTTGGCTGTGGAAGTGCTGCTCCCGCGCCGACACCTCGTCCTGCCCTTCCATCCTCCTTCATGCCCGCCGCCGCGCCGCCCGCGTCCGCGTGCTCCGCCGCACCATCGCCCGCCTGCCGCAGGGGCTCGGACGGCCGCGCCGGGGACCGGGACCGGCACGGGCCCGCGAGCCGCGGTTGGAACAGGTACCGAGACCACTACACCCGCCGCCGCCTCAGCAGCCTCAGGCAAGCTGCTCTGGCTGAGGGAGGGCGGGCGCCGCGCAGCCGGGGGCGGGGCGGGGGCGGGGCGGGGCGGGGAGGGGGCGGTGCAGGTACACGTCAGACGAAAGGCGCCGATACGTCAGAGAAGCGCGCCTCGCGGTCTTCCGGGCCGCTGGGCCGGGAGGTGCCGAGGGGGCGGCGTCCAGCCGCGCCCTCAGGAGCTACCCCGGTTAGGGAGGTGCTGTCCTGGCGTCGGGTGGGGACGGGGAGCGCGTCGAGGGTGCTGCGACTTCTGCCCACCTGGCCCGGCCTCAGTCTCTGAGTTCCTGTTCCTCACAGGAGCTAATTATTTATGACAGCTGCAAGGTGCCCCTCCCCCAGTTACTCAGTGCTTGGCACTCAGCACCCCTTAACTCAGCACTCAGTACCGCACTCAGCCTCTGAGGACCTGGGCAGAGGGAAGCAGGGAGTCTCCTGCGGAAACTCTTGCTCTGCCAAAGTAGGTTGAAAGGTCGGAAATCGGTGGTTTTGGGCCGGGCTTTGGGCGGCAACCCAGCTTCTCTGGGCCTGATAAGGGTCTTGGGCTGTCCCACCTGGAAAACTCAGATAACCGAGCTGGCGAGGCCCTTGTCAAGTCCTTCCGGTAGCTCGGTCACTAGGGTGAGTTTTATGACCCTCAGTGGACCCTAAACAGCACGTAATATATGTATTTGTCACCGCCAAATATATCAAACACAATGATTCACACTCCATTCCCCATTATCTTGCTTTTTGCTATGACATTTGAATTTAAGGGAATGTTTGTAATTTTACCTTGGGATTTATTTGGCTACGAGGAAGTCATTTAAATTGCTAGTGGCTGTGATTTTTGTTTTTGGCATCTTTGAGAATTCTTAGGAAGTGTGAAAATCTACAAATTGTTTTCAAATCTCATTTAGATTTTTTTTTTTTTTTTTTTTTTTTTTTTTGAGACGGAGTTTCACTCTTGTCGCCCAGGTTGGAGTGCAGTGGCGATCTCGGCTCACTGCAATGTCCGTCTTCTGGCTTCAACTGATTCTCCTACCTCAGCCTCCTGAGTAGCTGGGATTACAGGCGCCCATCACCACGCCCGGCTAATTTTTGTATTTTTAGTAGAGACAGGGTTTCACCACGTTGGCCTAGCTGGTCTGGAACTACTGACCGCAGGTGATCCACCCACCTCGTCCTTCCAAAGTACTGGGATTACAGGCGTAAGCCACCGTGCCTGGCCGTTATTTTAGATTTTTATGAATCTAAATTTAACAGTTAATGAAGTTGGTGCAAAGTTTTTCAAAGACAAATATATGGTAATTTAAATGTTGCCGTTTCTCTTCACAATTTTGAGTTAAAATTTTTTCACAACTCAAACTTGCTATGGTGCTTGGCGAAGTTGGAGGCCCCGACACATTGTTTCTATGAGTTCACTATAGCTGAACATTGTGGTGGTGGGAAAACTTAGAGAACCTGAGGCTTGTTCTCAGCATGTGCCCTGCTGCCACAGGCTGATTGATCATAATCCAAGAACAACTGTCAACTGGTTGAATTCAATGTTCACCTTTATTTTTTAGAATGTTTTGGAGCCCTAAAAAACCTGGATAATTTCTGGGTTAATTCTGAAGGGCAAGCAGATTAGATTTTAAAGTGTACAGCATTTAAACACAGATTCCGGAAAGTGATGCATGCAATATTTGTCATCTTTTTAATGCAACACTCCAACCATGTAGACCTTTCGATTTTCTTTTACGCAGTCATCCCTAGAGGCTTACGCACCACTGATACTTGTAACACTTAACCCAGGGTAGCAGACTTCAACAATGGGCCATGTACTCACCACTCCCTATATGCTCACCCCTCTGCCATCTAGCTTTGTCCTTCCTCCCAGCAAGAAATGGACTCTGCTTTCCAGCCCTGGAATCAGCCTGGCTGGGTGACCTGCTCTGGCCAGTGGGACATTAGAAAATATGAAACTATAGGAAAGTGCTTGTGCGTTAGGACTTGCCCTTTCTTACGGACTCTAGGGACCCTCAATGGCCACTGGCCACTGCATCATAAGCCCCAGCCCAGCTGACGATAGGTGACCTGGTCACCTCCATCAGCCCAGCCAACACCCTCTTTTCCACATCCCTAAACGCTGTTGTATAAGACCACATGGGCCATTGTAACGGCTTTGGCTTTTTTTCTGGAAGAGGTCAGGAGCTACTGTGAGTTACTGACAGGTGCTATGTGATCTGACTGTTGCTCAGGGCCTGGACAGCGAATGAGGAAGACTTACTGCAGAAATTCAGAGCCTAGCAACCTGGACCAGGGTGGAGGCAGCAGACGAGGTGAGAGGTAATCAGATTCTGAATGCATTTTGAAAGGAGGATTTCTTATCACATGGGGGATGTGGTCAGAAAAAGAGAAAGACAGAGAGCTCCGAGTCTTCTGGCCTTAGCAGCCAGAAGGACAGTTGCATCACCAAAGAGGGGGAAGGCTGCAGTTAGAACAAGTTTTGGAGAAAAGACACAGAGTTCGGGCCGGGCGCGGTGGCTCAAGCCTGTAATCCCAGCACTTTGGGAGGCTGAGACGGGCGGATCACGAGGTCAGGAGATCGAGACCATCCTGGCTAACACGGTGAAACCCCGTCTCTACTAAAAAATACAAAAAAAAAACTAGCCGGGCGAGGTGGCGGGCGCCTGTAGTCCCGGCTACTCGGGAGGCTGAGGCAGGAGAATGGCGGGAACCCGGGAGGCGGAGCTTGCAGTGAGCTGAGACCCGGCCACAGCACTCCAGCCTGGGTGACAGAGCGAGACTCCGTCTCAAAAAAAAAAAAGACACAGAGTTCTTAAAATGTGATGATGACACCTTCTGGCCACCAAAATATGCTGTGTGTATATGAAGTTTCATCTCATATCAGAATATGGCTGGCAATAAACATTTAAAAATATGTTTCATCTCATCAATACCCAGGACATGCAAACTGAAACCTAAATGAAGTAGCTTTTCACTTTCATTGGGTGGGCAAAATTTTTTTAATTTGACAATATTGAATGTCACAAGAATGTGGAACAGTAGAAATTCTATACCACTGGAGGTAGTGTGAACCAATGTAACATCTCAGTAAATAATTGGGCATTATCCGGTAAAGCCGAAGATAAGCAATGAGCAGCTGCACTCCTACCCATACATCCTAGAAAAGCTTGTGAGCATGTATACCAAGAGATGTGAACGAGAATCCCCACAGCTGCGCCACTCGAACCAGCAGAAGTCTACAAATAGCCCAGCTGTCTATCCACGGTAAAATGGATAACGAAACTGATATGTTCATGCGACAGAATGCGATTCTGAAAAATTAGTGAACAATAGCTGCAAGCAGCAATACAGATGCATCTCTAAAACAAAGTGTGGACGAAAAGAAAGTACCAGAAGAAGACACCCAGTGACTCCATTTAGGTAAAGTTCAAAACCACACAAAACTATATACTATTATATTATTCCATTCTCACACTGCTACAAAGATCCTACCCAAGACTGGGTAATTTATAAGCAAAGGAAGTTTAATATACTCACAGCTCCGCATGGCTGGGGAGGCCTCAGGAAACTGACAATCATGGCAGAAGGGGAAGCAGGCATGTTTTACATGGTGGCAGAGGAGGCGGGAGAGGGTGCAGGGGAAGTGAGGAAGTGGGGAAGAGGGGCAGGGAGGGGGGAAAAGAGGAGGGAAGAGGGGATGGAGGGAGGAAAAGAAGAGAAAGGGGGAGAAAGAACGAGAAGGAGGAACTGTCAAACACTTATAAAACCATCAGACCTCATGAGAACTCAGTACCATGAGAACAGCATGGGGCAAACTACCCCCATGATCCAATCACCTCCCTTCCTCGACATGTGGGGATTACAGACCCCTTGCTTGGTGTTTAGGCTAACATGCTCCATTTAGCAAGGGGTTATGTTGCAGTAGAGAACCCACAGTTTAAGCTGTCAGGAAATGGTAAACCCTGCACACATGGTGACTACAATTGGAGATGAGATTTGGGTGGGCACACAGACCCAAACCATATCAACTATGTGGGCATACAACCATGCAGTAGAACTATAAAGAAAAGCCAAGGAATGATAAAACTCTAAGAGAGAGGTCAGAGAAGGGATTGGTGAGAGGCTTTCAAGGGCCACAAAGAGAATGATAATGCTGTATTTCTTAAACCAGAGTGGAGGAGGTCCACAACCCTATCTTGCATTGTTATTCTTTATACCTATGCATTATCTGTCATGCATAAACAGCATCTATTTAATATTTAATAAAGTAACTGTTTCAAGAAGCACAACTTCCTGGTAGCCTAAACCATGGCTTCTCTACCACAACTTAACCCCTCGCTAAATGGAGCACGTTAGCCTAAACGCTAAGCGAGGAATCTGTAAACCAGGTTCCAGTTCTGTGGTAAATTGCTGTGTGACCTTCCAGGTCTCCATTCAATTAACAATGCCTGAGGTTCCTTCCAGCACTAATACTGTGTTGGTTGTCTTAAAAATTAACTTGGAAGGCCGGACGCAGTGGCTCACGCCTGTAATCCCAGCACTTTGGGAGGCCAAGGCGGGCGGATCACGAGGTCAGGAGATCGAGACCATCCTGACTAACACTGTGAAACCCTGTCTCTACTAAAAAATACAAAAAATTAGCCGGGCGAGGTGGCGGATGCCTGTCATCCCAGCTATTCGGGAGGCTGAGGCAGGAGAATGGCGTGAACCCGGGAGGCGGACCTTGCAGTGAGCAGAGATCACACCACTGCACTGCAGCCTGGGCAACAGAGCAAGACTCCGTCTCAAAAAGAAAAAGAAAAATTAACTTGGAGCTTGGCGCAGTAGCTCACTAATGTAATCCCAGCACTTTGGGAGGTCAAGGTGGACAGATCACGAGGTCAAGAGATTGAAACCATCCTGGCCAACATGATGAGACCCCATCTCTACTAAAAATACAAAAATTAGCCTGGCATGGTGGCACACACCTGTAGTCCCAGCTACTGGGGAGGCTGAGGCAGGAGAATCGCCTGAACCTGGGAGGTGGAGGTTGCAGTGAGCTGAGATGGTGCTACTGCACTCCAGCCTGGTGACAGAGCAAGACTCCGTCAAAAAAAAAAAAAATTGGAAACTTTCCATACTTTCCCTAACAACGCACACCCCATCCATCAGCAAGTATTTTTTTATTCTACCACTAAAATATGTCTGGAATTCAGCCACTCTTCCACATCGCCTTTGCCACTCTCCTGTTCCAACCAGCCTCATGCCTCAGTGGCCTCTGGGCTGGTCTCCCTGCATCTACTCTTCCCAGACCCTCACCATCTTCTCCCTCCCATCATCCATCCCGAGTGATAAGCATGTAAATTAGTTGTGTTCCCCAACCTGAAGGCTTCCCATATCACTTACACTCAAACTCTGATCCCTAACCAAGACCTATGGTCCCTGACAGAGACCATAGGACCAGCCTCTGCCCACCTCTCCAACCTTGTCTTCTGCTGTGCCCCCCACTGCCTTTGTACTGTGCCCTCTGCCCAGGATGCTCTCCCTCCCTCTCCTTACGACGTAAAGGTTAATACTGTAGAGAGGGCATTTTCGACCCTGAGCTGAGGGAGCACCTGAACCCAGCCCAGCTATGCCGGCTCACTTCACCTTGCATTGTCTTCAAGACAGGACCCTAGAAGTTATTAACACATAGGGGCCAGGTGCGGTGGCTCACACCTGTAATCCCAGCACTTTGGGAGGCCGAGACAGGCAGATCATGAGGTCAGGAGATCGAGACCATCCTGGCTAACACAGTGAAACCCCGTCTCTACTAAAAATACAAAAAATTAGCTGGGCGTGGTGGCGGGCTCCTATAATCCCAGCTACTTGGGAGGCTGAGGCAGGAGAATGGCATGAACCCGGGAGGTGGAGCTTGCAGTGAGCCGAGATGGTGCCACTGCACTCCAGCCTGGGCGACTGAGTAAGACTCCATCTCAAAAAAAAAGAAAAAAAAAGAAGTTATTAACACATAGGTGTGTTTTTTGTCTGCCCTAGTCATGGCAAGGACTTTATCCTGTTCACTATTTTTTCCAACACCAAGCACAGGGCCTGGCACATGATAGGAGGTTGATAAGCCTTTGCTGAATAAATAAAGAGTCATACGTGTGAATGTGGGGGGTGGTAGTGGGGAGCTAGCTTTTGTGGAATTTAACTACTGTATTCCAGGCACTTCCCATGCATTATTTAATTTAACCATCACAGTAGCGCAGTGAAGTAGGTGCTGTTGGCTCTATGTTACCATTGAAGACACTGAGTCTCAGAGAGGTTAAGCAACCTGACCTGGTTTACACATCAAGATTTGAACCTAGATTCATTGACTCATTAACACCTGCTTTTCTCATAGTTCCATTGCTGTCTGCCATGCCATAAAACAAAAACAATTGCATCACCATGCATGACACATAGTAAAACATCCAGGTCCCTCTGTTGGAGATTCTGCCCTGACAACCCACCTCCCCTTCCCCAGTGAATTCTTCTGTAATTCTGAATGTGCTTGAGTGGAGTATGCAACCGAGCATACAAATGAGTCCAAGCTCACTCTCTGCCCCTCAAGTTCCAGGAATGGTGCATTAAGGCTCTCCAGAGGAATAGGACTAATTAGGGAGTGGAGGTGTAGAAAGAGAAGGTGGGAGAAGGATGTAGAATTGGCCCACAGGATTCTGGAGGCTGAGAAGTCCTAAGATTTGCAGATGGCAAGCTGGAGAGCAAAGTATAAGTTCCAATTCGAAAGCCAGCAGGCTCGAGATCCGAGAAGAGCTGATGGTTGAGTGTGAGGCCAAAGGCAAGAAAAGACTAATGTGTCAGCTCAAGCAGGAGGAGCTCCCCCTACTCAGGGGAGGGTCAGTCTCTTTGTTGTGCTGAGGACTTCGACTGGTTGGATCATGCCCACCCACATTGGGAGGGCCATCTGCTTTACTCAGGACTCCAATTCAAACATTAATCTCCTCCAGAAGCACCCTCACAGACACACCCAGAATATTGTTTGACCAGCTATCTGGGCATCCCATGGCATAGTGAAACTGACACATAACATTAACCATCACAAGTAGGGACCCCTGTTTTTATTCTCTTCTTCTTAATAGGCTTGGGGAGAAGTTGGCCTCTTGTGCTTCTAACTCATCAGCTGTTGCTTGTGGGAGCTACTACCTACTTGGGATGGCTCAGGGCACTGCATTACGCCTTCCAGGCAATTATACGAGGTACTGCTTGAGCTTAAGCAAACTGAGAGAAGATTTAGGACGCTTTCTAAAGGTAATATCATAAATAGACATTTATTCCAATCATTTGGTTTTTTTGAGATGGAGTCTCTCTGTGTCACCCAGGCTGGAGTACAGTGGCGCAATCTTGGCTAACTGCAACCTCCACCTCCCGGGTTCAAGCGATTCCCCTGCCTCAACCTCCCAAGTAGTTAGGATTACAGGTGTGTGCCACCACGGCCAGCTCATTTTTGTATTTGTAGTAGAGACGGGGTTTCACCTTGTTGACCAGGCTGGTCATGAACTCCTGACCTCAGGTAATCCACCTGCCTCAGCTTCCCAAAGTGCTGGAATTACAGGCATGAGCCACCATGTCCAGCCTTGATTCCAGTCATTTTTATTGGCTCATCATATATCATCTTCAGTCATACATCATCTTCCTAAGCTTTACTTATCTATCTTGATTCTTTTTTTTTTTTTTTTCTGAGACGGAGTCTCGCTCTGTCACCCAGGCTTGGAGTGCAGTGGCGCAATCTCGGCTCACTGCAAGCTCCGCCTCCCGGGTACACGCCATTCTCCTGCCTCAGCCTCCCGAGTAGCTGGACTACAGGCGCCGGCCACCGCGCCCAGCTAATTTTTTGTATTTTTAGTAGAGACGGGGTTTCACCGTTTTGACCAGGATGTTCTCGATCTCCTGACCTCGTGATCCTCCCACCTCGGCCTCCCAAAGTGCTGGGATTACAGGCGTGAGCCACAGCGCCCGGCCTCTATCTTGATTCTTTTTCTTCCAACTTCAACACACACAATTTAGGAGGGAAATGAGTCAAAATGGGGTGGGGCAAGGGAAGGAACAGTCCAGCAAACCTCTTTGTGCCACAAAAGGAACTATAATGTCTCTGGAACAGTCAGGAATCACAGATGTGTGAAGCCTAAAGGACCCTGGGGATCTCCTAGCCCTATTGCAACCAAGTCCCAAAGAAATTTAGGGACTTTCCTAAAGAGACACACATTAGTGACCAGGGTAACCCAGGCTTGCTGACTTCCAGCCCATCATTCTTCCCCTCGTTCCCCATTCCCACTAGAGGAGAACTTAGTGCCTTCCCAGCTTCTGAACCCACTCCTTCCTCCGGTCCCCTCACCGTCCAGGCCACACTCTCCTGTGTGGAGACTCATCCACACAGGGTCACAACTGCACTTTGTTGGAAGGAAACGGCTTGAAATGCAAATTCCATGTGTTACGCTCCAGCCTAGTGTCATGCCTGCTTTCATTTCTCAAATAGTTTTGTTTTACCACCATTTTTATGGCCATTCTGCCTTTCAAGCTTTTATCTTTTAGTTAAAATAACAAATATTTCTGAGCACTTAGTATTTGCCAGGCACCGTTCTTTCATTTTTAATTTTTAAAAAATATTTTGTGGAGAGATAAGTGTTGCCATGTTGCCCAGGCTGGTCTTGAACTCCTGGACTCAAGCAGTCCTCCTGCCTCAGCCCCTAAAAGTGCTGGGATTACAGGCATGAGCCACTGCACCTGGCCTTTTTCTCTTTTTTTTGAGACAAAGTCTTGCTCTGTTGCCCAAGCTGAAGTGCAGTGGTGCAATCATAGCTCACTACAACCTCGAACTCCTGGGCTCAAGTGATCCTCCCACCAGGCACTGTTCTAATTGCCTTACATGTATTATCCAATTGCACGTTCATCACCATTCCATATGTAATTACTGATTATACTCACAGTACAGTTTAAAAATCCAAGCACAGAGAGGTAGTAATTTGCTTAAGGTCACACAGCAAGCCAATGAAGGAATTAGAATTGAAACCCAGGCTGTCTATTCCAACACTTCTAACCACTATGATACATGGCCTCTTAACATATAATGTTCCCTGAGTAAAGAACTGTATAAAGCAACAGAGATTATGAGCTAACTCAACTGTTCCATTTTCTTGGTGTAGACTAAACGTGTAACTGCCTCATTTTTGCCAACGATTTGAGGCACCTGAGCTGCAAAGGAAGTGCGTGTCTGATATTTTCAGCTTCTGTTGTGGGATGGAGTCCCTGCTTCATTAGCTGTGGATTTCCTTGACACACAAGGTGGCTTCAGGTATAGTTTCAGCCAAAAAGAATGACATGGTCCAAATACAAAGTCTTCTGAGGATCCAGTATAATCCAGGTGTAAAATCTAGACTCTCTAAATAAATGAATGGACTTTCGGAATTTGGAAGCAGTAACCAGTCAGTACTGTGCTGGAGACCGCTTGTACTGGCCTGCGAGAAATGGTCATTAATTTTTAGGAATTATGCAAGCCAGTTCTTAAATATAACCATTACTTAAAGTTAAATTATGCAAACTTACACGTAGTTTTTGGGGGATTTTGTTTGTTTGTTTTTTGAGATGAAGTCTCGCTCTGTCACCCAGGCTGGAGTGCAGTGGCATAATCTCAGCTCACTGCAACCTCCACCTCCCGAGTTCAAGTGATTCTCCTGCCTCAGCCTCCAGAGTAGCTGAGATTACAGGCGTGCACCACCACACCCAGCCAATGTTTCATATTTTTGATAGAGACGGGGTTTCACCATATTGGCCAGGCTAATCTCGAACTCCTTACCTCAAGTAGTCTGCCCACCTCGGCCTCCCAAAGTCCTGGGATTACAGACATGAGCCACGGTGCCCAGCCTTAAGTTATATTTTTAAAAGGTAATAAATGCTCTGACTCCATCATGTCCTGCTTGTGTTAATTTTTTTTTTTTTTTTTTTTTTTTTTTTTTGAGATGGAGTCTCGCTCTGTCGCCCAGGCTAGAGTGCAGTGTCGCAATCTCCGCTCACTGCAAGCTCCATCGCCTCCCAGGTTCATGCCATTCTCCTGTCTCAGCCTCCCGAGTAGCTGGGACTACGGGCACCCACCACCACACCCGGCTAATTTTTTTGTATTTTTAGTAGAGACGGGGTTTCACCGTGTTCGCCAGGATGGTGTCGATCTCCTGACCTCGTAATCCGCCCGCCTCGGCCTCCCAAAGTGCTGGGATTACAGGCGTGAGCCACCGAGCCCGGCCGTGCTTGTGTTATTATACTTTACTCTTGTGGCCACTTCCGTCAGCTGTCTAATGACGGTGTGCTCCTCCACACTCAACATCAGCACATTTGGTAGCTAGAATGGGCCACAGCACAGAAATCAGTCAGTGATACAAATCAGGGCCCCCTTCCCCCACTTGAAGAGCTGGTTATTAAATAATTACAGCGCACCATGGGAGCCAGCAACCGTTTTAGAAAGAGCCTCAAATGAAGATGTTCCACACTGTGGGCTAATGTTGAACAACCAGATGATAAAAGGTGAAAATTGAGGAGACTGGACAAGACTCTCACGTGGTGGTTGGTCATCCCACATGTCTGCAGAGGCAAATCAAGGGGATTACTAGAGGGAAAACAGGAATTTTTCTCAGGAAAACAGTTCTAAATTCACGAAGATACAACTAAGTTCAGAAACATGCATTACTTTTACACCAATCCGAAGTTCTTGCTAGTCATACACATGACTGTCGATTTCTGAAAGGGGTGTGATATGGTTTGACTATGTCCCCACCCCAATCTCATCTTGAATTATAGCTCCCATAATTCTCATGTGTTGTGGGAGGGACTCAGTGGGGGGATAATTGAATCATGGGGCGGGGGAGTCCTCCATACAGTTCTCGTGGTAGTGAATAAGTCTCACAAGATCGGATGGTTTTATAAGGGGTTTCCACCACTGCACTCCAGCCTGGGTGACAGAGCGAGAATGTCTCAAAAAGTATATAAATAAATAAATAAATAATAGAACCTACAAAGTGCAATGACACTGTAAAAGTTGGCTGTTAGTAATAGTATCAACGTCATCATCACCATTATTGTTATCATCTAAAAAACCAAGATCTAAGCATGGATTATGCTTATATTTACAAATTGGGTTATATATCTATGTGATGCTTACACATTTTTTTTTTTTTTTTTTTTTTTTGAGATGGAGTCTCGCTCTGTCGCCAGGCTGGAGTGCAGTGGCGAGATCTCAGCTCACTGCAACGTCTGCCTCCCGGGTTCAAGTGATTCTCCTGCCTTGGCCTCCCAAGTAGCTGGGACTAGAGGCCTGCACCACCATGCCCAGCTAGTTTTGGTTTTGTGTGTGTGTGTGTGTGTGTGTGTGTGTGTATTTTTAGTAGAGATGGGGTTTCACCATGTTCACCAGGATAGTCTCGATCTCTTGACCTCGTGATCTGCCGGCCTCGGCCTCCCAAAGTGCTGGGATTACAGGCGTGAGCCACTGCGCCTGGCCCAACGTTTCTAAGGAATTCATGACAAACTTGTAACTTTTACGCAGGGATGCTTAAACGAAGACTTAAAATGGAGGAGAGGACCCCTACTTTGCAAAGAAATTTTGTGGCTGTCTTATCCGTGAGTCAAGATTTACAAGAACTCATCAGAAGAAATGGGTAGACATGAAACTGGAATTAGCTTGAGGAGAATTACAGGGTATCGTGGGGAATTTAAGTCCACGGATAAAAATAATATCACCCTCCTGAATATTTCAACCTTTTACAACCTATCACCACTTCAACCTTTGGTGTCAGTCTCTGATTTTAACAAGATTTTATCTTAGGACTAATGATACAAATTTCACCCGTCCCTGACTAACTCTCATTGAAATATAGAGAAACAGATGATCAAGACTCTGCTAGCAGGAGAAAAAGAGAGAAAAGAGAGATGAACAAGTCTTGTGTGACCAGAAGCTTATCAACCTTGTATGCTGTTGGCTTAGTTTAACATTTACAGCAGATGATAGATCCCTGAATTGTGTTCAGATCACACAGTAAGGTGTCAAATGACCTCACGAAAGCAAGACGGCACTGAACCGCAAGGTGAGAGATTGTACAGACATCATGTAAAGGTTTGTGTCCCCCTTTGGCCGTCCAGACATGAAAACTGTTTATCTGGGTGTGACTCAGATACCACTCTGGAGTAGGCTGACTTTGTAACTCGGGAGCGCACAGAATGGCAGGAAGCAAAGCAACAGTCAGAGGAACAACCTGGGCCAACGTGGCACGAGATCAAAGAGGAGCACAGGACGTGCTGAGCCCAGAGGGGGTGAGTCAGAGGGAGAAAAGGATGTTTTCTTGTGGTCACTGCAGACGCAGGTTTTGTTATGAGCACTAGGTGAGCTGAAAAGCCCTCATCCTGATTCTAGGTCCGCAAGCCAAGAAGGTGGAGCAGGTTCTCGTGGGGCTCTGTCTCCAGAGACCTTGTGTGAGCTTAGTCATGAGAGGCCCAAAGCTAACATTTAGATCCTGCTGCTCCAGGAAAGGGAATTAAGGGCTTTAAAAATGGATGCTGAATTGCCTGAACCCGGGAGGCAGAGGTTGCAGTGAGCCAAAGTCACACCGTTGCACTCCAGCCTCGGTAACAAGAACAAAACTCCGTCTAAAAAAAAAAAAGCATATGCTGAGGCCAGGCTCACTGCTACCTCCGCCACCTAGGTTCAAATGATTCTCCTGCCTCAGCTTCCCGAGTAGCTGGGATTACAGGTACCTGCCACCATGCCTGGCTAATTTTTTTGTAGTTTTTGTAGAGACAGGGTTTCACCATATTGGTCAGGCTGGTCTCAAACTCCTGACCTCAGGTGATCCACCTGCCTCAGCCTCCCAAAGTGCTGGGATTACAGGTGTGAGCCACCACGCCTGGCCTTGGGCATGGTGGCTCTTGCCAGACATGGTGGCTCATGGTGGCTCATGCTTGTAATCCCAGCACTTTGGAAGGCCAGGACAGGAGGATCACTTGAGGCTAGGAGTTCCAGGCCAGCCTGGGCAACATAGTGAGACCCCCATCTCTACAACATAAAAATTTAAAAAAAAAAAAAAATTAGCTGAGTGTGATGGCACATGCCTGTAGTCCCAGCCACTCAGGAAGCTGAGGCTGGAGGATGACTTGAGCTCAGCAGTTCAATACCACAGTGAGCTGTGATTGTGCCACTGCACTCCAGCCTAGGTGACAGAGCCAAACCCTATCTCTAAAAAAACAAACAGAGAATGGATGCTGAACTTACACTTTTTTACGCTAGCTCTTATTTTTATTTAGTTGTTCTTGTTTTTGTTTTTGTTTTTGTTTTGTTTTGAGACGGAGTTTTGCTCTGTCGCCCAGACTGGAGTACAGTGGGTGGCACAATCTCGGCTCACTGCAGGCTCCGCCTCCCAGGTTCACGCCATTCTCCTGCCTCAGGCTCCCCAGTAGCTGGGACTACAGGCACCTGCCACCATGCCCGGCTAAATTTTTGTATTTTTAGTAGAGACAGGGTTTCACCATGTTAGCCAGGATGGTCTTGATCTCTTGACCTCGTGATCCACCCGCATTGGCCTCCCAAAGTGCTGGGATTACAAGCGTGAGCCACTGCACCCGGCCTTATTTATTTAGTTATTTTATTTTATTTTTTTTGAGATGGAGTTTCGCTCTTGTTGCCCAGGCTGGAATGCAATGGTGTGATCTCTGCTTACTGCAACATCTGCCTCCCGGGATCAAGCAATTCTCCTGCCTCAACCTCCCAAGTAGCTGGGATTACAGGTGCCTGCCACCACGCCCAGCTTATTTTTTGTATTTTTAGTAGAGAGGGGGTTTCACCATGTTAGCCAGGCTGGTCTCGAACTCCTGACCTCAGGTGATCCTCCTACCTTGGCCTCCCAAAGTGCTGTGATTACAGGCATGAGCCACCATGTCCAGCCTATTTTTATTTTCTTTTTGGGACGGGGTCTCACTCTGTTGCTCAGGCTGGAAGGCAGTGGTGCAATCTCGGGTCACTGCAACCTCTGTCTCCAGGTTCGAGTGATTCTCCCACCTGAGCCTCCCAAGTAGCTGGGATCAGGCACGTGCCACCACACCTAGCTAATTTTTTGTATTTTTACTATAGATGGGGTTTCACCATGTTGGCCAAGCTGGTCTTGAACTCCTGACCTCAAGTGATTCGCCCACCTCAGCCTCCCAAAGTGCTGGGATTGCAGGCATGAGCCACCGTGCCTGGCCACTACACTGGCTTTTAAATATACTTTCTAGAGGGGAAATGATGGAAACAAGAGGAAGGCATACTTAAGAATTCAGTCTTTCTCCCTTCAGCCTCAGTTCTGTTCTCTAGATGCAACCAGGACTAAGGGTTTCTAGCCATTCTTCCAGAATTTTCTACACATATATAAGCATTTTTTAAAGTACACAATTGAGATCTGTTTTGCCACTTACATTTTTACTTAATAATATATCTTGGCTGTCTGACCATATCATTACGTACAGGTCCATTCCATTCCTTTGCTTCTTGGTTAGTGGTCCCCTGACTAGTACGTGCTGCATTTACTGCACCAATCTTCCATGAATGGGCGTTCAGATTATTTACAGTTTTGTTCTGCTTTGCAGCCCTCTTCTAACAATGCTGTCACGTATATCTTTGCATGTATTTCCTTGTGTAGTTGGTACAGCTTTTGGCGGGGGGTGGACACGCCCCTGGTATGAGGTGGAAGCAGCCAGATCTTTTAGATAAGGTGCCACTGTGCCCAGGGTCATGGCATGGCAGCAGCCCAGGATTAGCGGAGGATTCCAAGAGCTACCTGCTAGGGACAGAGTCAGAGCTGGTAGTGAAAGGAGCGGGTGGTATTTTCTGTCTCACGTGACACTGGGCCAGGTGGGGAGAGGCAGTGTCTGTAAAGACCTCAGGAAATTCACCCAGGAGAACATAAGCCTCATCCAGGCCTCCCCTGGGACTGCAAGCCCAGCACCAAGCCCTAGAACAGCCCAGTGAACTGAGGGTAAACGCAGCACCCCTGGGAGGGGCTGGGCCAGCTGGGAGTCTTCCACAGCCCTGGGCGCTTTGGAAAACACTGAGCGGTACCTCCTGAGAGCCCAGGCCCCTTGCTGGGTGGCCAAGGGTTCCTGGCCTGAGCACCCCACCCAGAAATGAGCAGACAGAGGCAAAGGGGCAGCTGCCCAGGTTGGGGGTGTATCCACTGAGCGTCTCCCTTGTTCTCAGGTCAGAGTTTCCTGGTTACTGCCACGTGTTTATTTTTCCAGATGAATTTTGTATCATCTTCATTACCTTACCCACTCCTCCCCCAACATCCTCTATTTGATCGGAAGTGAATCAGGGAGAATTGGCATTTTTATAACATTTGAGTCTTCATAGCCAAAACAAGGAATGTTTTTATTTAAATGAACTGACACCCTTTTTAAATTTGTTATTATTATAATTAAGACAGCATCTCTCTCTGTGGCCCAGGCTGCACTGCAGCAGTGCAACCTCACTGCAGCCCTGATCTCCTGGGCTCAAGTGATCCTCCCATCTCAGCTTCCCGAGTAGCTGAGACTACCGGTGAATGCCACCAAGCCTGGCTAGTTTTTTTTCATTTTTATTTTTATAGAGACAAGGTCTTGCCATGTTGTCCAGGCTGGTCTTGAAGACCTGGCCTCAAGTGATCTTCCTTCCTCAACCTCCTGAAGTGTTGGGATTACAGGCATGAACCACTACACCCTGTGACTTATTTATTTATTTGAGACAGAGTCTCGCTCTCTCTCCCAGGCTGGAGTGCAGTGGCATGATCTCGGCTCACTGCAACCTCCACCTCCCGGGTTCAAGCCTTTCTCCCACCTTAGCCTCCCGAGTAGCTGGGATTACAGGTGCTCGCCACCACACCAGGCTAATTTTTGTATTTTTAGTAGAGATGGGGTTTCACCATGTTGACCAGGCTGGTCTCGAACTCCTGACCTCAAGTGATCCGCCCGCCTCCCAAAGTGTTGGGTTTACAGGTACGAGCCATCACACCCGGCTGACATCTTTTTTTAATCAGCTGTTGGCTCTTGGGTTATAAGCCAAGACAGTGGACAAAAGTATTTGAAGAGTTTCTCTAGGAATAGGATTTCTCCCTCCCTCCACAATCTTTTCTACCAATGGCAGGTCACACCTGCAGGGGCAGCTTTGCCTCCTACACACCAACTGGGCTCACTGTCACAGCAAAATGCTGCTGTAAAAGAACCAGGTCCCAACTCTTGGCCATATCCTCCCAGGAACGAAGCAGGTGCCTCTGCCAAGTGTTACTTAAGGAGTTGGAAGGGCTCATTTAGGCAACTTGTAAACCTTGACAGAAGCATCTTGGCCACCTTTATGCACTCTTACACTGCGGCATTCCCAAACATCCTCCTGCTAATGTTCCTGTTTTACAGCATTTTAAAACCAATTTTCAAGTGAGTGTCATAAAATCACTCTATACAGGAAGTCAGCTCCATAATCTCCATGACATAAACTTTAAAAGCAAGATGTAAAATGCTGTTGGGATGCTCTGACATGCTTTTACACTGTGCTCATTTGTAAATTTATTAGCAAATCATTAGGATATCAAAATCCACATCCGGGAACTGCTTACCAATTGTAGTAGGAGACATGGTTAGGTTTTGTGACCTGGCAGGATGTGGAAAAATCATTCAATCTGTGCATGACTTGCTAGTTTCCTAAGAGTTTGCTTTCTGGGAAGGTTTCCATGACAAACACAAACAAACCATTAGCCTGAGAACCTCATGTTGCTTTGTGGTTTAATA